TTTTTTTTAAATACCTCATAGTAAGCTTTACTTGATGTGGTTGAAGCTATGCTGGTGGCTAATAGTCTTAAAATTTCTCGAAAATCTGCTAATTTCTCTACGCGTTTTGGTCTCGACAAGGAATGGACTTAATAACCTCCAATGATGTTCTTTCTTAAATATATTTCTATACTCTCTGTTGTGCTAGTTCGCACTTTTGGGAGAGAGGATGGGTAGTTGGGTGCCTATTTTACTTTGATCATTTGGGTCTGAGTTGACGTGGGAATTGGATGATATGTGTGTGTGTGTGTGCGCGCGCGCTAGGGGTGCCTATTGAATCTGGTTAATTGGGTATGTGTGGATTTGGGAATTTGTATGAACTGGATGTGTATATATGTGTGTGTGTGTGGCTATGTGCCTGTTGAGTTGGATTAACTAGGTCTGGGTGGATGTGGGAATTTGTAGGAATTGGATGAGATGAAGAAGCGATTGAAGGAAATGGAAGAGGAAGCTCCTGCACTTCGCGAAATGCAGGCTAAAGTTGAAAAGGAGATGGGTGATGTTCAAGGTCTTTTCCTTTCATTTGCGATTTGTTGATTCTGTTTTTAACTTAAATCTTGTTCTAAGGTTTTTAATTATAATGAGTTAGAGCAGTATTTATATGATAGATATGATTGCTTATTTTGCTTAGAAAGTATTTTCAACAGATGAAGAGAATAGGAGTTTGAAAAGATTTGGAGTAAAACAAATACAAGTGCACAAAAATTTTGTTTTAAGTAATAAATCAACTGTAAGAACGTCTAACTTTGTAATGGATGGTGGACTCCTTATCTTTTTAATTTAATCAAAGTATATTCCCAAACCTGTTTTTCTATAATTGAAGGCATATGTAAAATCTATTATTATCATTTCTATAGGCCCTTTAGATGATATTGTTGTTATTTGTGCCCTTGTTTCCTTGTTTGGAATGTTATATTTTTAGTTCGTGGTTATCATGTTTGCATTTACTTATTTGTTTCCATTTTATTTTAGCTGCTTGCTTTAAGCTACTTTCAGTATTCATGTTACAACACCATATGAAGGAGCAATGCATATATTCAATAGTATATTCAACTCAAACGTTGCATTTAACTTGAGGAAAGATGATGATTTGGATTTTCCAACAAAGTCGAAATGTACTCCTAAAATGTAATTGGATATAAGAAGTCGTGTTGTTGAGATGTATCTAGCCGTATATATCTTTGGATTTCCTCATTTTGAAATTTTATTTGAATTAAAGTTAGAAAACCTTTTTGATTTATCACCCCCCCCCCCACCCACCGCATGCCTATTTTATTTGAATGCACAATTTTCCTTTTAGGAGACGCTACTATGCATTGTTAAAGTTGCGTATGGTGACACCAAATTTTGACTACTTCCCCCTTTCGTGCTTGCATGGGAATCTGTGTGACGAGGCAGCGCATGGATTTATTCACTGTGGAGGAACAAGACATTCTTTCAGATGTTGAAGCAATTATGAAAAATATCAGAAGAATTATGAACCAAACAAGGGAATTTCTTGATTTTATTCTCAGCCTTCAAATTATAATATTATTTACAGTTTTTGGTACTTCTGGAAATAATGTTGTGTGCAATAATAATATGTAAAGAAAAATATACACTCCATTATTTTTTTTTTTATGATTAATGAGATTATGGAGTGATAAACCCCAATAGAAAAGAAAATTTATATAGCCGAACTCAGATATATTGAAAAATAAGAGTGTTTCATCGTAGTTGTCTATAATTTACAGAATCGACGATATAGGCTGGAGAATCTTAAAAATTGTATATTTGGATTTATGAACCGATATTTTGCATTTTTTATGAATAAGTTTCTTCCGTCAGATTATTCTCTTGAAGAGGTTTAAAAGAAGAGGAAAAAAGCGACGAATTACTATAGCGGAACGCCTTTGATTCATTTGTCTACTGAGATTTTGGGGTTTTGATTTCTTGTTAGGGTAAACTGAAAAAATATGAATATGAAATCTAACCAAGTAACTTTTGTGTGAAGGTACAATGCACATATCTCCCTTTAATCATTCACATTCTACGCTAACATTACCTTAAAAATAACAGAGTCCGTGCATCGCACAGGCCAAACCTAGTTATTTTCATAAAACTGAGCTATTTTTATGCTGATATTTTATCATTTGCAGTTTATTTGGCTTAGCCAAAATTACAGAAATAAAATTTTGTAATAACGATAATGTGTTGGATAATAGAAGATTCTTGAAAAACTGTTTTGGGAGCTCAGAAGCTACACTGGGAGGCTAAGGCCTCGTTTGTAATTGAATATAAAGGTCAATTTTTGATCGTCAAAGAATTAGAAGTCGTAAAATTTGTGATTTTGATGGTGAAATTGTTGAATTTTTAGATGAAAAATTGAGTGTTTGAAGAGAAACCTATTGTATGAAGCCCTTGTTTGATTTTGTTAAAAATCATATTTTTAGTATATTTTGATAAAAATTAATGGAGTGTGTGGTTTAAAAGTGGGTATTGTGAATTTCATGAAATATGTGATTAAAATTAATTATTCACTTTCACTTAGATTATTATCAGTTTTTTTAGCAAAACCAAATTGAGGCGAAATATGAATCTCATTTGGAAGCTTTCGAAGGATTTGGGGAAATCTAATTTGAGGGTTGATTAGTGAGCGAATGATGGAATCTGTACAGTCCATTGACACTTATTGCAAAATGTAGGGTTTCTCAAATTTTATCGATCGAATTTGTAAAATACAAAAAATTATATACAAGCCAAAAATAATATATTTTTGTTGAAATTATTCAATAATTATGCTAAGAACAAGAATCACATATTCTAAATTGTTAGATTAAAATTCATGCACGCGGAAGACATTTTTGTTTATGAATATTACCAACTAAATGTTCCTCTCATTGCTTCTCAAAGATAATCAATCGTCAATGGGGCAAGCCAAAAGATAAGAGGAGAGGGGATCTAACCATATATATGAAATTATAAAGTCGGCCCATTATCGACTCTAACCCTAATTAGAGTTGACATAATTCCGGCCCACATACATAAAATTACCACATTCTAATAATATATCCCGTAAGGTGTACAACAGCTCAAGTGATTACTAACATATTGGGCCTAATCGCAATATCATTGCAAACCATACATCTAACCTGTAAAATTCGCAATCAAATGGAAGCACACATAATAGAATTATTCTAACATTCTTCCACTTGGGCAAACATTTGATTGCTATAGAACATAACTTTTAACCTCTAGGCCAGACTATATAGGTGGCCACACAAGTACAGCTGCAATGATAACATCTTACACAACATGATCCGGTCCAATAAACACTCCACAACTACAAATTTCAACATCCTTATCGACATGGATTCCCATCGCCCAACCAATGTGGTAGTATGCAGTATGAACTTAGCACCAAATGTGATAAAAAAATGTGCTAATTCATATCGGTTCTCAAAATGCTTGTAATCAAAATGAAGTCACATATCTCTCAAAGAGACTGATCATATGTCTTTAACTATCATATCTCGAGATCAAAATAATATTATAATAAAAGACACAAGTCAAAATGTGCTTGCATATTTCAATATAAGATGGAACTATAAGTTTTAATATGGTATCAGCAAATTACCAATTCGATCCGATTAAGAGTCAAAATGTGCTTGCAGATTTCAAGATTGGTTTGCTCAAACGAGCCACCATTTTATGGGGGCATGTTAAAGAATGAAATTAACTAAGGGTTTGGGTTACTCTTTTTAAAAAGATTGACATTTTAAGATGGAAACCCAAGTTTCAACGTCTTAGAAAAAGATTAGTAACTGCCCCCTAAATTTTTCGGGTTGGCCGATGACATGTTTTTTCAATTGTCACAATTGTCCCTGAATATTTTTTTTCATCGTGGATTAATGCTATAGTGTTTCTTGTCGGGGCTTATCAGATTTCTCAGCAGACATTTGAAAATTCCGGCATGGCATTTGAGTCACAAGCTGCGAGAAAATAAGATAGGAATACATCACCCGAATGGTTTCATATGCAGATTGGTGGAACATTTGAAAGAAAATCAGGAGTTCATAATCCTCATTGGATTGTAAATAACAGTAAGATGTGTGTTCGAGAAGGATGAATATCTCAAGAAAAGAAATCTATGCTTCGATCGATGACTGCAACATAATTCTTTATCGAATAAGAAATGTATTGCATTTACATTTCATTATCGGGCGTATGGCTGCTTATACTTTGGGACTTTGAGAAGCTCCTATCATAAAATCTCCACCCCCTTCATGTGGAAATTAATGTATATATTATATCCATACAGATTTCAAATTCTAAGTACATGTTTGGTATCCAAAATAAGTAATTTTTTTTACATAAAAACAAGAAAATACTAGCATATCCAAATATGATTTGAATATAAAAATTACTTTTTAGCACAGAAGCTCATATCATAAAATCTCCACCCCCTTCATGTGGAAATTAATGTATATATTATCCATACAGATTTCAAATTCTAAGTACATGTTTGGTATGCAAAATAAGTAATTTTTTTTTACATAAAAACAAGAAAATACTAGCATATCCAAATATGATTTGAATATAAAAATTACTTTTTAGCACAGCGAAATATGTTAGTATTAGACATAACTAGACACTATCTTCATGCTGTCGAGCACTAGTATATAGTTTCATCAATGAGTAGCAGTGTCGAAAATCAAAATCTTCCTAGTTTACAGCATTTTGTCAAAGCAAAGAAGACATTTAGCCAAAAGCTGCCTAAAACCGTCAAATACAAACTCCAGGCAATGGACTCCATTCCCTTCCAGTCCTTCATCTTCTCAAGTAGAGTTTGAGATACTGTTGTGTTCCTGAGGAGAGTTGACAAACCTCATTATTTTGTGCGACACTGTGTGTAAATTTTCATTCAACGATTCTTCATTGCCATCATAATTGTCATCATTTTCATAAACTAAATGAATCCCTTATTTCTTCAGCATAATTCGTGGATCAAATTGAGGATTGCGCCTTACGACCTGTAATTTGTCGTCGTTTTCTAGTATGGAAACTAATGGATGATAATCTGGATATCTGCACAAATAAAGCTGATCATCTTCTGTATTTGGGATTCCTCTTAAATTCATTGCTCCACTGTAAACTGCTATGGTTACTCTGAGAATCTTTGCTTCGATTTCAGCTATAACAGGCAATTCATCTAATGTTGAATCCTGGTTGATTTGAGAGTTCTTAGAGACGACAACAGCAATAATCACACTTCTTATTGCCTCATTTTTCTTTCTAGAAAAGCAAAGCTCATCTCGAGTAAACCAGTCCGGTATTTCACTTCCCGGTACGCATAAATTGTATAAATTTCTCAACGCAACCTGCATGGAGAAATTGTAGCAATTTAAATTATCGGTCACTATGTATGCATACATTTTACAATTCATATTCATAAACCATAAGTGAAAATGAAAAAGTAAAATGACCCCCTGTCCAGCTATTTTAGATCATGGATGGTACGAAGCACAAGGGGCACTGGTGACTTGATGTCTTCCTCGCATTCCTCTGGCCTACTACTGAAAGTCTTGAAATCCAACCTCGACTATTGCAACTAAACATGAGATTGTTCTCATAACTCGACTTAATCCAACACTTCACTGCACGGGATGAGCCATCCACCACTTGACTGATCGCAATCCAAGAGGATTCACACATGCATAAATTAAGGGGGAGAGAGAGAGAGAGATACCTTGTCAAGTTTCCGTATCACTGCTGAGGCACGATAACTGCAACCTCCCATGTACAACCTTCTCAAGTCTTAAGAAATCAAAACTAGTAGAAACAGATCAACAGAGATCATGAACCAGCAGGAAACATATCAGAACGAAAACTAAATGAAGAACATAACAGGAAGATAGGTTCAATATGTAAAAACATATTGAAGGAACATGATGAATAAGGAGATTTATTACATCAAATGCTCAATTGTAAAGGTGATTACATAGCTCTATTTATAGAGTAAATCTAACAAACTAACTAACTAATGAAGGATCTAGAATAAGCATGTCTTGGCCATGTGATAGAAGAATCTGGAAGGAAGAAGATCTGCATGTTGAACGTGATCTGCTGGATGTGTGAACTTGCTGGCTGAAGGTGCAATTCCAACATCAAGGACATCAATTTTTCGACGCCTGGTAAGTCCATTAGTTTCTCACAATTTGTGAATTCGATCTCAATTAAATACTTCAAATTTGAGAGATCAGAAATGCTTTCCAGAGAAGTACAATTTGCAGCATTTAGTTCTTGCAAACTCTCAGGAAGTGGAGAAAGAACTTTGAGCAATTTGCAGTGGGATAAATCGAGCTTTTTGAAAACACGGAGAGGTTTCATATCGGATGGAAGACTGTGAAAATCATTGTGACTCAAATTCAAAATCTCTAAAGATAATAACTTCTCAAAATCATCAGGTATCTTCCCGAATATCTTCCATGCACGAGCATTGAATTCGACTAACGAGGAAAGATTCGAGAAAGAAGATGGAAGCACCTCACTATTTGCACTAGTAGCTGGCTCTGATATTAGAGAAATCTGAGGGGCCTGGCCATAGGGCTTCTTTGCCATTTTCAACGTCCTTAAATTATGAAGCATCCCAAATGTTTCAGGTAATTCAGTAATGGCAGTTTCCTCCATAAACAGGTGATACAAGTTTTTCAATTTTCCAAATGAAGCAGGCAATTTGCATAGTTTCTTGCACTGATTCAGTCTTAGGACAATCAGATTCTCCAACAATCCTATAGATTCTGGTAACTCTATTATTACAGCTTTGTTTAAGATCAACGTATGAAGGGCTGACAAGTTCGCTATTGATTCTGGAAGTGTGCTAAGATTCTTGCAATCTTCGATTTCAAGCTTCTGAAGTGATTTCAAAAATTCAATTTGATGAGGTAAACCAGTGATTAAAGTCCTGTCTAACTGAAAAGCGAGCATTGAAGACAACCCTTCAATGGTAACTGGCAATGTGTGCAAACGCTTGCAGTCTCCCACTGATAAAGCTTTCAGATAGTATAGCGAACCAACAGATGCCGGTATAACTTCTATGGAACTACCGTTAAGCAAGAGTTCAGTGAATGATTTGAGATTTCCAATGGAATCTGGAATTGCAATTAACGATTCACACCACATCAAATTTAGAATCTCTAGATTTCCCAAAAAGCCAATGGAATCAGGTAATTCTTCCAATGCAGAACCAAGAAGAGAAAGTTCCCTTAAGGAGTTAAGCTTTTCTATGCTTTTGGGTAGTCGTTTCAACGATTTGCAATGGTTTAGGGAAAGCTTTTCGAGACAAGTTAGCCTGAATATAGTTTCAGGCAGTTCATCTATGGTAGTTCTATCAGCTAGAAGTTCTTGCAAAGACTTCATGCTGCCAATGTTCCGAGGTAGA